GGGTTCAGAAATTTCAAAGGAGGAGAAACAAAAGCGAAAAAACTTAGAACATAACCTTAGTAAAATGCAACGTAGTCTTCACGTGACTGCTCACGCTCACTACGTATCTTCGGAATACTACAGAAAGTGGAACGTTAGACTTCAATACATGTCTCTTGTGGTAGGTGCAGGTGGTGCCACAGGAGGCTTAGCATCAACATTCAATTGGAAAACGTTTGTTGGACATAATCCTCGCCTTGCACCACTCGTCGCTGCGTTTTCAGCAACTTCAGCTATCCTATCCGTTACCATACATTTGTTACCGAAGATCCAGAGTATGCCTGCAAATCTATATCAGATGCACTTTAACTCTGGAATAGAATGCCAGTATCTCGAAAAAAAGGTAAAGTTTATGTCGGAGACCGAAGTTTGGGATTCCAAAATACCGTGGGCATCTCTGGCATCAAAGTACGAAACCCTGCTCAGGGACAAGAAAGACGTGGATAGCGTGATACAAACCGATTACTGGGCTTACCGAAAAGCTTTAAAGCTAATTGAGGAAAGAGATAGAGAGAAACGAGACCAAAGCGTAAGAGTAGGAGAAGGAACCATACAATGAGCCCCAGAAACTTGAGAGAATCGTAAGCTGATCTGTTTGTTACCGCATATGTAAAACTCACAACTACTAAAGAAACGAATTGAAAACCAATTTCAGATTTACGCAAGGTACGTTTCGATCGATTTATTTCGATTATCATTTGTAGCAAGAGATTATCTTCTCTTGTTTATAGTTAATTTACATCATAACATCGAAGTTATATTGGCCATGAATTGAAATTGGCAACAAAATATATAATTTTTAAATGCACCAGACGGATTAAATTTACAAAGACCGAAAGTACAAAATAAAACACTAATTCGGAAGGAAAAGCATGACGAGCAAAATAGTTCAGTCGGCATGGATAACGGTAGACTCTTTCAATGGATATGGGCAGCATTTTTAAATCAAAGGCTGTATAAAATATTTTATGATCGTCTGTGACACTCAGTGCGACCTCTGAGTGTGCTACAGACCGTGTTAACCATTCAGCGTGTAGATTTAGTGAATGCAAATTTTGATAAACTTCAAGACTACTTCTTTCTGATTGTAACACTGGAAATAGTACACATGAATCAAAATTGAGAGAAAAAAAAAACTATTGAAAGATAAGTGCACTACAAATTGTGTTCCAGACCCTCGTCAGAGCTCGTCTGAGAGTATCATGTGATTTCTTGCGTGAAGCAAGTAGTCGATGCCACCAGACCATTCGGAAGTGAGTGGAGGGGGAGGGGGGAGGGGGGAAGGGGGCAACAAAACAAAAATTCATGTAAGCAGTCCAAGTAAAACCTGCCATGTGTACACTATGGCGAGTGCTTTTTCAACATTTCTATGGCTATAACTTTTTAATATTAAAAGTTCTCTCGAATTATGCCTTGTAGATATCTATTGCCCAGGTACTGCCAAAGCCTCAGTTAGCTGGCACGTGAATTACACTTTGCAGAGTGCCAAATAAAGTGTTTTTATTTTGGTGCTGATATAATTATCTGTTGGACTTTGAATAATGGTTTCTATTTTCAATCTGTAATGAAGGAATGTATATCTGAGACGCAAAAGAGTAACATAACTTTTTGAAAAAATTTCCTTTAATTGTTACGACCAGAGACACTGCTGTTTTGAACCTTCTTAGCGACCCGTCTGATTACCTGTGATATGAACAAGTTTCATTTCTCTCTTT